TGCTAGCGCTACATACAGAGCTGGGTTTCAGACATCCTGTGAAGAGTTATATTGGAAAGTGCTGCAAATTTCCAACAAATTTCTGATTCAAACAGCCGCAAAGTTTATGAATATTTAGATCAAATTAATCAGTTAAATCACGCAGAACCTGCAGGAGACGTGTTGTAAAATAAATATTGGCAACTTTATCTGAAAATTTGGCCTCCAAATGATGTGCTCCATAGATCACCTCAGGAGGTTAGTTTCACTACACCACTCAAAGTAGTCAAAATTGTACTTCTAAATCAATGTCAAAATGCAACACCACAGAGCTAGCTAATAAAGCAATGAATAGAGTGTAATATATCTTTAGAAGACAAAAATAATCCTTTCTAGATGAATTGAACACCTCAATGCAAAGATGTTGTAAACCTTGATGCAATAGTAGCAATAAACTTGAATAAAAGATTTAGATATATTTCTTTATCAAATGGTTCTGAAGTGTTAGCCTATGTGAAAGAAATGTGATCGTATCTCTACAAGACAAAATGCACTATGTATAACGAACTCACAATCAGAGATATTTAACTGAAGGTAGCCTGCATTTACATGTAAATTCTCCTTCTTCTGAGCTTGCAGTAAAGACGCTACTTTTGTACTTTGCCTTTTCAGGCTAGAAGGCCAGCTACTAAGCTCAGAGGTCAAAGTTCACTCATGAATGTGAAACATTCTCAGTATCCATGCTCACAACAATTGTGCGCATTGTGCCTGACACTGCAACTTCCAACTATTGTGCCATCTTGATTTTCAATTCCATGAGTATTGTGGCTGGTCACATGTAGATGTACTCTGGCAATATCATGAAATCCCTTCTTTTCAAAGCCACTATAAACAAAAATGTACAAATTCTTGATTTTTAGCACTGCTGTGTGCTTAAAATTGTAGCGTATTTTAATTCTGATAGTAATATGAACATATGTCAAAAATATTTGAAGGATTGAAGAAACTATTAAAGCAGTTGGAAAGTCAACTAAAAATGATTTTGCTTATTCATGCCATTTTTGAGTTACTTTTGAAGTTCCTTGGTGCGATGTCCCAGGAAGTATCCGAGGAAAAATTGGGCGTGTTTAGGAGACTTTGTTGACAGCATCGATCAAGATGTTCAGGTCCCCTTTCAAGGCAGAAAGAAACAAAAACAGCAATAAAACGTTCAGCTTTCTAATAACGCATGAGTAAACCACCTCAAGGGTGCCCTCGATGAATTTTTCTTAGGTTCAGTTTGGTAGGGTCTTTACACTTTTCTTCAATGCATGGAAACTGTCCGGCTTCCTTTGTGCATTAGAAGTTCTTGTGGTCAACTGAGGGTGCTGTCAATCAGGGAAGGCACAGTTAACCTTCTCTTTTTCCCTTTAAATTGTTAACCAATTTTTGTTCATTGAAAACACCTATAAAAGAGGGTTGCTCACTGGCTTACTGTCAAGTACTTGCACAGCAGTAAATCACCAATGGAAAGGAAAAGTAGGTTAAAAAAAGGTCTGACATTTTACATAAAAAATGAGTTCCCTGATTGACAATTTTAAATGTTTAAAAGAGTGCTCTCTTCAATACACTATACCCCTGGGGGATGTCAAACTGTTTTCAGGCAATGAAGCAAAATAAGTGCCGCTAAGAAAACTTTATTGCCTTGGACCTCTGAAACGAGATTAGTTAGGCTTATTGGTGTCAGCATACGTACCAGTCACTTGCCACCAGTTCACTTTTGTATTCTTCATTTTATGAGCACATTAGTTCAAGCATGGCAGACACAATGCAGGCCCATAGGCTGGGGGGGGGTTGGGGGTTTGAACAAACCCCCCCCCGCTCGCTTCCGAGTTCCGCTCGTGTTTTTTTTTTTTTTAANAGCTAGCGCTACATATACAGAGCTGGGTTTCAGACATCCTGTGAAGAGTTAAATTGGAAAGTGCTGCAAATTTCCAACAAATTTCTGATTCAAACAGCCGCAAAGTTTATGAATATTTAGATCAAATTAATCAGTTAAATCAAGCAGAACCTGCAGGAGACATGTTGTGAAATAAATATTGGCAACTTTATCTGAAAATTTGGCCTCGGGGAAAAATTGATATGCTCCACAGATCACCTCAGGAGGTTGGTTTCACTACACCACTCACAGTAGTCAAAATTATACTTCTAAATCAATGTCAAAATGCAACACCACAGAGCTAGCTAATAAAGCAATGAATAGAGTGTAATATATCTTTAGAAGACAAAAATAATCCTTTCTAGATGAACTGAACACCTCAATGCAAAGATGTTGTACACCTCGATTCAGAAATAAACTTGAATAAAAGATTTAGATATATTTCTTTATCAAATGATTCTGAAGTGTTAGCCTATGTGAAAGAAATGTGATCGTATCTCTACAAGACAAAATGCACTATGTATAACAAACTCACAATCAGAGATATTTAACTGAAGGTAACCTGCATTTACATGTAAATTCTCCTTCTTCTGAGCTTGTAGTAAAGATGCTACTTTTGTACTTTGCCTTTTCAGGCTAGAAGGCCAGCTACTAAGCTCAGAGGTCAAAGTTCACTCATGACTGTGAAACATTCTCAGTATCCATGCTCAATGCTGCAACTTCCAACTATTGTGCCATTTTGATTTTCATTTCCATGAGTGTTGTGGCTGGTCACATGTAGATGTACTCTGGCCTTATCATGAAATCCCTTCTTTTCAAAGCCACTGACAATTATTAATGTACAAATTCTTGATTCTTTGCACTGCTGTGTGCTTGGAATTGTAGCGTATTTTAACTATGATAGTAATATAAACATATGTCAAAAATATTTTAAGGATTGAAGAAACTATTAAAGCAGTTTTTGGAAAGTCAACTAAAAATGATTTTGCTTATTTATGCCATTTTTGAGTTACTTTTGAAGTTCCTTGGTGCGATGTCCCAGGAAGTATCCGTGGAAAACTTGGGCGTGTTTAGGAGACTTTGTTGACAGCATCGATCAAGATGTTCAGGTCCCCTTTCAAGGCAGAAACAAACAAAACTGCAATAAAAGGTTCAGCTTTCTAATAACGCATGAGAAAACCAACTCAAGGGTGCCCTCGATGAATTTTTCTTAGGTTCAGTTTGGTAGGGTCTTTACACTTTTCTTCAATGTAGTGCTCTCTTCAATACACTACACCCCTGGGGGATGTCAAACTGTTTTCAGGCAATGAAGCAAAATAAGTGCCGCTAAGAAAACTTCATTGCCTTGGACCTCTTACACGAGATTAGTTAGGCTTATTGGTGTCAGCATACGTACCAGTCACTTGCCACCAGTTCACTTTTGTATTCTTCATTTTATGAGCACATTAGTTCAAGCATGGCAGACACAATGCAGGCCCATAGGCTGGGGGGGGGTTTGAACGAACCCCCCCCCCCCGCTCGCTTCCGAGTTCCGCTCGTGTTTTTTCTTTTTA